CTTCCACCTCAGCCTTCCAAGTAGCTGGAACTACAGGCGTGTACCACCACACCCAGCTAATTTTTGGATTTATTGCAGAGACAAGGTCTCGCCAAATTACCCAGGCTTGTCTTGAACCCCGGGGCTCAGGCAATCCTCTCGCCTCTACCTTCTAAAGTGCTGAGATTACAGGTGTGAGCCACCACACCCAGAGGGGATCTGGGTTTGAACCCAGGTCTGTCTGGCTTCTGGAGCTGTTGGGATATAACAAGGGAGGGAGGGGCTCTACATTAAGGAAAGGTGGGGATAGGAAGTCACTTACCTCTCTGAAAGACCTGGACACTGTCCTTGTACTGGCAAGTCAGGATGACAACCGTCCAATCAACCCCCTTTGGCTGCTCCATTTTGGCCATGTAGAGGAAGGGCTTCCTGAGGCAGAGTATGTGAGTATTTTTTAAATTATCATACATTAAAATGTATTATTTTTTGTAATAGTTCTACAAATTTTTATACACATATAGATTCTTGGCACCCCAAAGAACTTCCTAATGCTATCCCTCCTCCATCCCCTAACCCCTGACAACCATTAATCAGTTCCCCAAGCTATAGTTTCATCTTTTAAAAAAAAAGCCGGGCTCGGTGGCTCAGCCTGTAATCCTGCACCTTTGGGAGGCTGAGGTGAGTGTACTGCCTGAGCCCGCGGGTTCGAGACCCACCTGGGCAGCGAGACCTCATCTCTACAATAAATCCAAAATCAGCTGGGCATGGTAGCGCATGCCTGTAATTCCAGCTACTTGGAAGGCTGAGGCGGAAGGATCGCCGGAGCCCAGCAGGTCGAGGCTGCAGTGCCCGGGAGCGGCCACTGTACTCCAGTCTGGGCGACAGAGTGAGACTCCAAGTCAAAGGCAGGCTGGGCACAGTAGCTCATGCCTATAATCCCAGCACTTTGAGAAGTCAAGGTGGCAGGATTGCTTGAGCACAGGGATTCAAGACCAGCCTGGGCAACAAAGCAAGACCTTATCTCTACAAAAAAAAAAAAATAGAAAAATTAGCTGTGCATGATGGCACATGCCTGTAGTCCCAGCTTCTGGGGAGGCTGAGGTGGAAGAATCACCTGAGCCCAGGAGGTCAAGGCTATGGTAAGCCAAGAGCATGCCACTGTACTCCAGCCTGGGTGACACGGTGAAACCCTGTCTCAAAAAAAAAGTTTGAACCTAGGGGTTCGAGTCTAGCATAAGCAACATAGCAAGACCCTCATCTCCAAAAAAAAAAAAAGAAAATGAAATTAATGTCAAATAAATGGAATATAATCTTTTGAGATGAGCTTCTTTCTTTTTTTTTTTTGAGTTGGAGTCTCATTCTGTCGCCCAGACTTGAGTGCAGTGCCCGCTCCCGGCCACCGCAACCTCGACCTGCTGGGCTCCGGCGATCCTTCCGCCTCAGCCTTCCGAGTAGCCGGAACTACAGGCGTGTGCGCTACCACGCCTGGCTGATTTTTTGATTTATTGTAGAGATGAGGTCTCGCTGCCCAGGCAGGTCTCGAATCCATGGGCTCAGTCAATCCACTCACCTCAGCCTCCCAAAGACGTGGGATTACAGGCTGAGCCACCGAGCCCGGCTGAGATGAGCTTCTTTCATCCAACATAATGCCTCTGAGGTTCACCCAAGTTGTTGTGCATACCAGTATCCCAATCCTTTTGCCAGTCATGAACAGAGCTGTGATAAACCTTCAGATACAGGTTCATGTGAACATACGACTGCATTTCTCTAGAGGGACATCGGAGTGGGATTGCTGGGTGATGTTGGTAATTTGTATGTTGATATTCTAAAATGTGGGTGCAGGCCAGATGCAATCATAGCATTTTAAGAAGCTGAGGAAGAGGAAGATCGCTTGAGGCCAGGAGTTCAAGAGCAGCTTGGGCAACATGGCAAGACCCCCATCTTTACAAAAAATCAAAACATTAGTTAGGCATGGTGGTGTGTGCCTGTAGTCCTAGAAACTCAAAAGGCTGAGGAGGGAGGCTCACTTGAGCCTAGGAGTTCAAGGATACAGTGAGCTGTGATCGTGTCACTGTACTCAAGCCTGGGTGACAGAACAAGTCCCTGTCAGATAGATAGATAGATGAAATGAAATGTGGGTACATATCACTTCCCAATGAAGTATGCTCAGGAGGGAGGACGTGCACCAGCCTCTTATTTAATTGTGCAGCTGGGGGGAAAGGAAAGAGCGGGGTGCCTAACCTCCCAGGCTCCCTAGGCTGAAGACGATTCTCTGGAAAAGGGGCAGCTGTGGGGAGCCCACACTGTAAGCTATGGGATAGTGGCCCGAGTCTGCTCAAGGGGATCCAGGTAGGGCGACAACAGCACCCACTTCAGGTACTCCCCTCCGAGAGGCTCTCAGCCAGTAGAGGCTGCAATTCTGTCAACCATCTTCCTCCAGGGCACTCTGAGCAAAGGGAAAAGGGAGGCCAAAGCTATGGCCCACCCCTCATCCCCCACCATGTCCACCAACACTCCTACCAGATGGGAAACGACTCTGTCTCCAGAGCCCCTGGCCTCCCCAAGATTACCTGAAGATGTGGTCCCAGAAGTACCCTGGCATTCACCTCTGGCAGAGCTCCCGCTGCTGTCCCACAAGGCAGCCCACCCACCACCTCTTCTCTTCAGCCCCCAAAGCTCAGCATGGGAGAGGGACAGTGGAAGCTGCTTGTGCAGGAGATGTGCCCTGAGCTTGCATCTGGCGGTCAGCCCATGCCCCAGCCAAAAGCCGACAGGAAACTGAACCTTGGCAACAGTCTTTTCTTATGCCAGACTATGCTGCCACCAAGCCTATGGTTAAGGCTGACAGGACACCACCACTTAGCAACACCCACACACCGCCAGGCTTTGTGCTTTCAGGAAAAACCTCGTCAGTAACAGAAGTTGCTCTGTTCCCTGTTCAGCCTAGAAGGGAAATCCAAAGGGCAAAGCTGAGCTAGAGATCCTGGCCAGGCACCTGGGGACAAGGGCTTTCCCTGGGATGCCCATCTGACCTTCCCTCCAGGTTGACCACCAACTCACTGTGGCCTTAGGCACCCCTAGCAGGTCCCCTGCAGCAGGGAGTATAATTGACAGGGGTCCCCAACTGCTACGAACCCCTACCTTGTTCACAGGGAGGCCATGCTCCCAACCCATGACTGAGCACAGCAAGGATACTGAGAGAGACCCACTCCTGCAAGATATGAGCAGCTTTGGCTTCCGGACTCCCCATCAACTCAGCTGAAACCATCTTAGACTCCCCCTGCTGCAGTCTGAGACTACACTTCCTACCCAACCCCGCCTCCTTCTGATGCGCCTTCAGGATCTCTGACAGCTCTCAGCCACCTCCATCTCTCTCCCTTTTTCCTTCCCTCTCTGATAAGTCTAATCCCATCTGGGTGACTGCCTCTCCAAGGACCCAAACTAACATGGGGTGTCTATCAACTCCCTCTTGATACCATAAAAGGAAAAAATCACTGTAAGAACCTCTCATTTGGCTGGGACCTCTCAGTGGCTCATGTCTATAATCCCAGCACTTTTGGAGGCCGAGGTGAGAGGATTTCCTGAGCCCATGGGTTCAAGACCAGCTTGGGCAACTTGGCAAGCCCTCATCTGTATAATAAATCAAAAAACTGAGCAACTCCCTTGTGTCCCCTCCTGCTCTGGAAGTTTTGCTGTCCTCTCAATAAATCCTACCTTCACAACTTAATAAATAAATAAGCAAGTTGAGCATGGTGGCATGTGCCTGTAATTCCAGCTATTTGGAAGGCTGAAGTGGAAGGATCACCTAAGTCCAGCAAGTTGAGGCTGCGGTGGCTATGAGCATGCCATAGCACCCAGCCTGGGTGACAGAGTGAGATTCCAATTAAAAAAAAAGAGCCTCTAATTTAATGTCTGGGAAGTTTGTATTTAGCCTTAAAGACGAAGAAACTGAGGTACAGAGTGATTAACTTGTCCAAGGTCACACAACCAGCAAATGGCAGAGCCAAGTTTGAACTTAGCCACTTTTTTTCCAGAGTCCATTCTCTTAACTGCTACACTAACTAACTAACCCTACATTGTAGGGCTGAAGAAGAAAAGGAGTAAACATATGTAAAGTGCTCAATATGTGTTAGCTATTATAATTATGGAAAAGTCTAAGCAAATACAAGATGACAAAACAGGGATGATATTAGTGATAACAGCCACTGGAACTGAGCTCACCCACTCCAGAGCAGTCAGATGCTGTAATTTGTTGTTGTTGCTGTTTTTTAACTTGCAAGGTCAATATTATTATCTCCACTTGACAGAGGCTAGTAGATGTTACTGTCACAGTTAGAACCTGGATTGCTCATTCTTATTCAAGTGATGGTAATAATGCTACCTGGCCTCAAGCAAAGGCTCTGAAAGAGAGCAAGGAAGAAATGCCCCAAAGAGAGGCCAATGGCCCAAAAGATCTGAGCCTAGTCCTTATTTTCAGCATAGTTATGGAGAGACATAGGCAGGACTTGCCAGAGTGGGACATGCCAGAGTGGGAGGGCATCCCTATCTGGATTGACCCCTGCTAGAGGCAGGCATAGAGGATCAGACTTGAACTATTAGCCCCAGAGGACTCTGTCCCCATCTCTGCCTCTTCCTGTGATTCTAGGCTGGTTCTCAACCTCTCTAAGCCTCAGTTTCCTAATCTGACAACTAGAGCTAAAGACACCAACTCCTAGGATGTTGCCAGCATTAAATAAAACGTCAAGTAGATGGTGCACAGCAGTGGCTCAATGAATGGCAGATCTTTCCAGTTTCACAAGGGAGCAGGAGAATTTAACATGACCCTGAAGCAGGAAGGACTGAAAGTTCTGAAACATTCTCTGGGTCAAAGCTGGCCCTGAACTGAATGCCGTGGCTCATGCCTATAATTCCAGTACTTTGGGAGGCTAAGGCAGGAGGAATGCTTCAGGCCAGAAGTTCAAGATCAACCTGGAGCCGGGCTCGGTGGCTCAGCCTGCAATTCCGCGCCTTTGGGAGGCTGAGGTGATGGATTGTCTGAGCCCGCGGGTTCGAGACCCGCCTGGGCAGCAAGACCTCATCTCTACAATAAATCAAAAAATCAGCCGGGCATGGTAGCGCATG